GCATCATCATCATCGTCAGCATCAGCGTCAGCATCAGCATCCGCAGCATCATCGTCATCGTCATCATCATTATGAGCAGCATCATAGTCATCATCAGCATCATCATAATCATCATCTCCAGCATCATCATCATCAGCAGCATCAGCATCATCATCATCAGCATCATCAGCATCGTCACTAGCATCAGAATCAGCAACAGCATCACCATCATCATCATCATCAGCATCAGCGTCATCATCAGCATCATCATCAGCATCATGATCAGCACCAGCAGCAGCAGCAGCATCATCATCAGCATGGGCATCATCTTAATCATCCTCATCACCACCACCAACACCCTCATCACGACCACCACCATCATCATCATCATCAGCATCAGCATCATCATCATCATCATCAGCATCATCATCCTTGACATGATCAGCAGCAGTAGCGTCAGCATCATCATCATCAGTATCGTCATCATCAGCATCACCACGAACAGTATCATCATCACCATCAGCATCATCATCATCAGCATCATCAGCAGCATCATCAGCAGCAGCACCATCAGCGTCATCATCAGCAGCATCATCATCACCATCATCACCACCACATCATCATCATCATCCTTATAACCTTCATCACCATCATTTGCCATCCTCATCACCAGCACAAGCATCATCATCGTTGTCGTCATCATCAGCAGCACCAGCATCAGCACCATCATTAACGTTATCATTAGCACTAAAATCATCAGCGTCCTCATCATCAGCATTATAAGCATGATCAGCACCATCATCATCATCATGATCGAAATTATCATAATCATGATCATCATCAGCACCATCAACATCAACATCAACATCATCATCATCATCATCATCATCATCATCATCATCATCATCATCATCATCATCATGAGTATAATCATCATCATCATCATAATCAGCATCATCATTATCATCATCATCATCATCATCATCATCACCACCATCACCACCATCTTCATCAGCATCATCATCATCATCATCATCATCATCATCATCATCATAGGCATCATCATAATCAACGGCATCGTCATCGTTATCGTCATCGCTGGCATGATCACCACCGCGGTCATCATCATCATCATCATCATCATCATCATCATCATCATCATCACCACCAAGGCGGGGAACACCGCAAGCCGCGTGCACAAAATCATCATCCCATCAGCATTATCATCACCATCAGCATCCTCATCATCATCATCCTCATCCCCAGCATCATCACCAGCATCAGCAGCAGCATCAGCAGCAGCATCATCATCGGCATCATCCCCATACGCGGCATCGTCAACAATCGGCGGCGTCATCGTCATCATCATCATCAGCATCATCATCATCATCATCGCCCTCATCATCATCAACACCATCGTCATCCACATCACAAACATTATTATCAGTATCATCACCCTCATCTTCGTCCTCGTCCCCAGTCATCATCGTCATGATCATCATCATCAGCATCATCACCACCACTACCAACACCACCACCACCATCACAATCATCATCAGCAGCAGCATTATCACCATCAGCATTACAATCATTGTGATCACCATCATCATCAGCATGTCCATCCTCCTCATCATCACCATCAGCATCATCAGCATCATCATCATCATCACCGTCGTCATCATCAATATCATCGTCATCACCCCTACCAGCCTCAGATGCATCATCTTCATCACAGCTCTCTCAAGCCTGGAACACGAGGTGTCACAAGTGACGGCCTCCCGTGCCCCCTCGAACAGTCGCCAACCAGATGCTGGGCTGGCTCGGCGGCGGGACTTGCCACAGGCAGCACGATATTTTCGTCCTATGATTCCTAACAGCTGCCACCGTGCCCTGAGGCACTAGTTGGAGTGTCCTCCGGCCCATCGGCTTTTTTTTTTTTTTTTTTTTTTTTTTTTTTAGGCTGATGTCCAGTTGGACGCAGCCGTCCGCCCATCGGCTTCTACGTCCTCTATCCTGAAGACTGCAATACTAGAGCCCGGCCCTCCAAGCCCAGAAGCCGTATTACACCCATTGGCGCGCGGGCGGAGCAAAAGCAGGGCGCATCACGACTGCGAAGCAGAAAATGCACGAGCAAATGGGCGACACGGCGTCACGTCGTCGCGCGGCTGCAGAATCCTTCGCCTACGTCAACGAATCCCGCAACGAAGCGGCACCATTGCTGCTTGTCTGCGACGCCTGGGACAGAACAGAATCCAAGTCAAGAGAACTTCGAATTTCATGAGACAAACAGTTCACACACTCGTGCCTGAGACGTCCAAGCCTCCGTGCGAGAGAGTCGGTGATTGGTCTCATATGCTACCTGGCTGGAATGTTCTCTGGCGGAGTACGTCAGTGTCGCTGTTGCGGCCGAGCTTCCCAAGACACAGAAGCTGATGCTGGGGAAGTTGGACGCTGTGAGGTGTGGCCCCCGCCTGGTGTGGCACACTTTTGTTGGTTACCCGTGACATGCAAGGATGAGAAAAGTCCAAGATATGTGGAAAACAAGGCGCCTGGAACCCATCGAATCGTCGTCGGCCACTCCTGTTGTGCCAAGCCGACTGCAGAAAATACATAACTGTTGTCGTTATCAGTGCCCCGAATGCGTTCAACTTTCGCTCTCCCCAAACTCTCCAAACTCTTGCCTCAGTTTGCCGGAACTGTGAATCGATGTCCCAAAGTACTTCGTCTGTTCAGTAGCTGGAACGATGTTACCACTTGGATCTCACAGGTGGATGTCGCAGCCTCTTTGTATCATGCGAAACTGATCCCAATTTCTTCTGTCTTAATATGTTGTTTGTTTCTATGTTATTTTGTTTTGTTATTTTTTTTTTTTTATCTTTGATTTTTTGCCCTTTTTTGTTTTTGTTATTTTTACCGAAAAAAACATAAATTTTTTATATATTATTTTTGTTAATCTAAAAAAAAAAAAAAAAAAAAAAAAAAAAAAAAAAAAAAAAAAAAAAAAAAAAAAAAAAAATGACTGGGGCATGCTCCCGCATCCCAGGGCGTGTTCCGCATGATTTTTTCGGTGCCAGAGAAGCCCACAAACGGGCCGCGAGGTGCCCGAGAGGCCCCCCAAGAGGGCTCAAGAATGCCGCGAGTTGGCCAAAGACTGCTCCAAGACGCCGAAGGTGGCTCCAGACGGCCCAAGAGGCCCCCAAAGACACCCCGAGAGAACTCCAAGAGGCCCCCCCAAGAGGGCTCCGAGAGGCCAAAATCATTGTCTTCCAGGTTTTTGAAAAGATTTGGCGTTCTCGTTCTTTCGGGCCTCTGACCGTCCAAGACGGCCCAGGATGCCCGCAAGATTGCCCCAAGACGGCCAAAGAGGGCTCCAGGAGGCCCCCAGGAAGCCTGCAGGAGGCCGCGAGAGGCCCCCAAAGAGACCCCAAGAGACCCATGAGCCCTCCAAAAGGCCCCCGAGAGGCAACCATCGATACGACCCAAGTGGCACCTTCCAAAGAAGCCTCTGACCCAACCCAGGCACGGTGGTGCGTTGGGCCGAAGGGGGTCGATGCAATACCCCGCCAGCCACACTCCTTGGCCATCGCTCGAACGTCCGGTCCCCGTATATGTTTCGGCGTCGTGCGTGTTTCTTTTGGCTCGAGGGTCCAGGATGCTCCTCGAGGGCCCTCGCCGAGAAAAAATGTACGCGGCCGAGCGATGCCAAGTCTCCCGCATAGCAGAAGAAATAACGCCATGAACATGAACTGTTGGCGTTCCGCGCGGAGCCCCCTCCCTGGCGCCCGGAGCGCGCCAGGGGCGGCGCCAGAGGCGCCGCCAGGGGGGCCCCCAGCGCCGATCCGAGAAATCCGCGCGGAGCGCCAAAAGTTTGTGTTCATGGCGTTATTTTCTTCTTCGACCGCAGGCGCACCCAGGAGAGCCCAGAATCGAATCGACAAGCCGCATCGGCAATCGAAATCAATCGGATCGGAGGAAATCGGCAGCCGGGTCGGGAAAAGTCCAACCTGTGGAAATCGGCAAGCTAGTGTGTGCGTCCGGTGAGAAACCGGAACCAAAATCGGAACTCCCGGTCGAATCGAATCGGAATCGGAAGCCACCGGAGGCGAATCGAATCGAATCGAATCGGAGAAGCCGAAACGAGCCCTGCGCACCCCGAGTCCTCGCGGGAGAGGGCCGCGGCACCGGCGCGAGCTTCGCCTCGATGCTGCGGGCGAGGTCGCGCACCCTGGGGACATCTGCCGCAGGGGCAGAGGGAGGGGCAGCGGCAGGCCAGCGGAGGCCGGGCGTGCGCGCCGGGCGGGGAGGAGGAGGAGGCGGGAGGAGGGCGGAGGAGGCAGGAGGAGGAGGCAGGAGGAGGAGGAGGAGGAGGCAGGAGGAGGGAGGAGGAGGGAGGAGATGGGAGGAGGAGGGAGGAGATGGGAGGAGGAGGGAGGGAGGTAGGAGGTAGGAGGTAGGAGGTAGGAGGGAGGAGGAGGAGGAGGAGGAGGAGGAGGAGGAGGAGGAGGAGGAGGGACGGAGGAGGGTAGGAGGAGGGAAGAGGACGGAGGAGGAGGAGGAGGAGGAGGAGAAGGAGGAGAAGGAGGAAGGAGGGAGGAGGAGAGGAGTAGGAGGAGGGATGATGAGAGATGATGAGGATGATGCTGATGATGATGATGATGATGATGATGATGATGATGATGATGATGATGATGTGATGATGATGATGCTGATGATGATGATGAGATGATGATGATGATGATGATGATGATGTGATGATGAGATGATGTGATGATGAGGAGGAGGAGGAGGAGGAGGAGGAGGAGGAGGAGGAGGAGGAGGAGGAGAGGAGGAGGAGGAGGAGGAGGAGGAGGAGGAGGAGGAGGAGGAGGAGGAGGAGGAGGAGGAGGGAGGAAGAGGCAGGAGGACGGAGGAGGAGTGGGAGGAGGGAGGAGGAAGGAGGGAGAGAAGAACGGGAGGAGGGAATGCCACAGACGCCACGGTCCTTCACCAGTCGCCCGGGCAACGGGAAACGAACGAAACATATCCTGACGAAGGATCCAACATATGTAGGTGTGCTTACCGCAAGGCAGGTGGGACGAAGGAAGTGGAGCTCCTTGTCGGGGCAAGGCACGTGTGAAGGGTATGCCAGAATGAAGGAGTGCCACCATGCGGGCGCTTCCACTGGAGCCTTCATTGGAGCTCCCTATGGGGCCACGAAACGCGTGAAAGGCGTGCCAAAATAGGGCGGTGCCGCCATGGGGGCGCTGCCACTGGGGCCTTCGGTGGAGCTCCCTGTTGGGCCACGAAGCGGAAATGGAGGCGGTACTGCCACGCGGGCGCTGCGAGTGGGACCTTTGGTGGAGCCCCCCTATGGGGCCACGGAGCGCGTGCGGGGTCTGCCGAAATGGAGGCGGTGCCACCACGCGGGCGCTGCCACCGGGGCCGTGGGTGGAGCTCGGTTTGGGGCCACGAAACGCGTGAGGGAACGTGTGAGGGAAAGGGGGGATGCGGAAGGCAGAGGCAAGGAGATGAGCAAGGGCGGGGACAGCATGAGGCGACGCGGGGCGCTGCGGATTCAAAACGACGACCCAACACCACGGGATGATTGGGCAAAGAATGGAAGAAACGGAAGGCTCGCAACCCTCCACACTCCCAGTCATGACGCGCGTGCGGCAGACATGACGAACAATGTTCGCCTCCCTCTCCCCCCTTCTCGTTGTCCTCGTCCGTCTCGGTCGTCCGCCCACCTGTCTCCTGTCCCCTGATGCTCAGCTGCGCATGCTCGAGGTAGCGAGGCGGACAGCCGTCACTGCCTTCATCGGTCTCGCTTCTTTTTGGGGCCGCCTTCGGCGCATCCGGGCTCGCGGCGTCGCTGCGCAGGATGCCGGGAGGACGGGTTCCTCTTGTGCGGTTGCTGGACGAACTGCGCGATGCCTGAAGCACCCTGCTGGGCGCCTCCAAGGGCGGACGGAGTGCCTCACTCTTTCCCTCGCCGCGGTTGCCGCCGCCCGCTGCGGGGCCACCGGGGGCCATTTTGCAGCACCCCGCGGTGGGTACATCGTGTGGACTGCCATGGCATTTGCACGAACACGCACTCGCGCACGCGCGCCGACCCACTCCCAAACCCCCTGCCCCCGCCAGCCGCACCCGTGCGCACCACGGAGGAGCGTTCTGGAGGGGGGCGATCGAGGGAAGGCGACAGCATCACGGGGCTGCCCGAGGGGGGCGAAGGTCCACGTCCACAATGAGCGCGCTCGCGAAGGAAGTGTCCACCGCCCGCGCGTACTCTCTTGGGCACTCCGATCGCGGTCGCCACCGAGGAGGGGACCACCACGGCACCCAGCCGAGCCTCAAGCGACCAGAGCCCCCCAGCCACGGATCAGAACTCGCAGACGAAAACGCCGTGCTCAGGGCAGCCTTGTCGCGTCGGCGCGCCCTACCATCAATGCTGCTGCACAAAGGAACGCAACACTTGGCCGCGGCTTCCGAACAAGACGCTGCCCAAAGCGCTCATCAGGCTCGACCTCGCCAGTCTCCCACGTGCCACAGAAGTCGACCAATTCCAGAACCCGCGCGAACGCTGTCCGCGAGAGGCTCTCTTCGCGGGTCAACGCGCAGGGGGGGCGAGTTTATCGGCGCTCCGTTCCCATGCACGGGATGAAGATGAGCGGCTCTCCGAGCTGCTCGTCGAACTGCTGCTGCTGCTGCTGCTGCTGCTGCTGCTGCTGCTGCTGCTGCTGCTGCTGCCATGCTGCTGCTGCCATGCTGCTGGTGCGTGCCCTCCGCTCGCACCGCGGGCAGCCCTCCAGAAGCATGGCACCGCCGTGCCCAGACCACGGCTGGACCGTACGCGAGCGGAGGTGAGCCGCGAGGGCGCAAGATCGCCCAGACGACAGAGCCACCCGCCGACCTCACGAGGCAGCCCTGGTCGTCTTGCTCGCCACCACCCTCACTCGTTCCCTCATCCCTGCTCCCCGTGTGCCTTCGATACTCCCCTTCCCTCCCCCCTCCCTGCCCCGCCCCCGGTAGGTCAAGTGGAAGCCAGGGAGAGGGGAAGGCGGCAGGCTGGCTGCGCTCGCGCCATGTCTGACATCCTCCCACCCACCACCCAACCCATCGCTTCCCGTGTCGCTGCTTAGTTCCATCTGTCCACGGCCGCGTGTCACGGCGGACCTGGAACCTCAAAAGAGGACCCCGTCGTGTCATGCGGAGCCGGGGCGGCAAACGAGCTGCGTACATTTAGGTCGGGCATGTCCCCTGCAGGCGGATTGTGGACGAAAACTGTAAAATAGTCAAAGAGTGCACCAAAGATGGTCAAACATACTATATAAAAACACAAAAAAAAAAAAAAGTCCCCCGAAAATATGTTCACTAGTTTTGAATGTTTATCCTTTAAAGGGACACGCCCGACTTAAGCGTACCTTGGGGGAAGGGCGACAGGCCTGGGAGCGCGAGCGGGATCCGCAGCGCCTCGGCTCGAGAGGGGGGGAGAGCCCCACCGACTGACACGGGGGGGGCCCACGCTCGCTCTGTCGGGCATAGATGAAGGGGCCCCAGGACACACGAATAAATACACACAAATAAAAATATTCCCCATATTTTCGCATATTTTCTGGGTTTCTGTCTTCCCCCCACTTCCCATATTTTCCCATATTTTCTGAGGAATCGAGGATTAATTGTGTCTGTGTGTTTTTTCCTCTCCTGAATAGAGCAGGGCTGGACCTGAGCGTTGTTTTTCGTGTTGTGCTCGCTCTGCCGCTCGCGCTGCTCTGCCTGCCTTCCTGCACCTCCCTCCCGGAACGAAAAAAACAGAGCACGGCCCAAGTCCAGCAGAACAGCGCTGCGGTCCAGCCCCGGCACAGAGCACGCCGGCAAGCGAGCACGGCCCACGAGACTGGGAAGTCCGGGGGGGTGGGGGCGACCGCCAGAGTGGTTTTTGTTGCAGCACACCTCCCTGCCGGGCGGCTGGGGCGGAGCTGGAAAGGCCGCCCCACAAATCAGTCTCGACAAGATCGGACGATGGTTTCGCCCATCTTGTGGGTCAGCCTCTCGGCGCACGCTTGATGCTGCGAACATGCGACGACCTGGTGCTGGGATGGGCGCTCCGACCTTTGCACCTCGCACCGAGCCCACGACAGGACCCGTCGTGTTCGACACTGCAGGCCGAGCACACCGAACAGAACAGGACTCTTCAAGGCTCGTCGAGATCGTGCCCACGCTCTGAAAACCCCTCGAGCACGGCAGTGTTAGGTCGGGCGTGTCCTCCTACAGGCGGATTTTGGACGAAAAATAAAAATGTCAAAACGTATGCAAAACAATGCCCAACACAAATACTCGAAACATCGTCCCCAAACCATTTTTTAACAATGTCTGGGCATTCCTCCTACAGAGGGACACGCCCGACTTACCGGCAGTGTGAAGTTCACCCTTCGCACTCTGGGGCCACAGGACCTCGCCAGCCAACCCCCTTGCGTCTTGCACCGCCTCGGAGGCCACAGGGACAGCCCCAGCGCTTAGCCATCGGAAACCCTCGCGCGTGCTGGCAGCCCCCCATGTACGGTATCGGCGCGCAAGCTCGACGGCTCCCCGTTCGCAGCTGCGCCAGGGAGGTCTTTCGGTCCGAGCCAACAAGTTGCACCGCTTACACCAGGGCTGAACCTAAACGTTGTTTTTCATTGTTCGCTTTCGTTTTGGTGTTCGTCTTGCTCTACCCGTTTTCCTGTACCTCCCTGCCAAAACGAAAAACAAGACACAGCCGAAGCTCAGCAAAACCGCGTTTAGGTGAACGCTCTGGCTTACACCTCCACTCCCTGCGAGACGAGATGAAGAAGAAGAAGAAGACGAAAATGCCATGCTCGAGCAACGTCATTTCGCTCCCCACGAGACGAGAAGAAGGAAATGTCGTGCTCGAGCAACATAATTTCGCTTTCGACCCACGGCTTAACCCCGCCAGGGAGGAGGACGAGTCGCTCTCCGTTCGGCCAGCGGCCAGGGCGGCCACGGGATGAGAGCATCGGGTCATAAATCAGAACTGGACCCAATCGTTCTGTTTCGCTTCGTTTTCGTATTGTTTTTCGTTTTGCTCTACCTGCTTCTCCTGTAACTCCCTGCCAAAACGAAAAACAAGACACAGCCGAAGTCAAGAAAAATGGCGTTCAGGTCCAGCCCTGGGTCGTAGATCTACCTGCATTTTCATCAGACTGAGGCAGCCTTCCTGCAGGCTCACGTACGTCTTCGGAGCAGCCACACTGTCTGAACCGAGCTTGGGGAACAAAACACATGTCAATAAGGTAATGTTCAAGGTCGGCCTTACTGGCGCCCCCGTCTGACACAAGTTACCCCCTCGCGATGGGCGGGCGTCCAGACAGACGACAGGCGCAACGCTGAATCCTTGCACAACTCGAAAATATTCCTCCAAGTGAGCGCGTGGACTGCCTGGCCTGATGCCAGATCTGGTGATCACAAGTTGCCTTCATTGGCTGCACAGAGGTGGTCTGACACTACCTGGGCATCCTTGGAGGAGGAGGTGGCGGATGAGCAGGAGGATGAGGAGGAAATGGAGGAGGATGAGGAAGGAGGAGGACAAGAACGAACAGCAGCAGCAGGACCTGGAGTGGAAGGAGCGGGAGGACCAAGACTGTATCCTGTTGGGCATCGGAATACGAGGGCATGAATGAACATCTGGAGGAGCAGGGGGACAAGGCCCAGGCTGGACGCTTCGCTTCCCCAGTAAGCGGAGCGCCCAGCTGGTCGGACTCGTGGCCGGAGCAGCAGGAGATGCGTTGAAAGCATGAGGGCCAGGCGAAGGCGGAGGGGGAGAAATCAGGTGGGAGACAACGATGAAAAAGGACTCGGGTCCAGAAAAGTGGCCCGCGCTGGGGCGAGAGCGCCATTCGGAACGACGGGAGCAGAGCGCCGGTCCGAAAATGAGGCCCACGCTGCAGCGGGAGCACCGTTTTGAAACACCGAAAACTTTCGGACTGTACAAAACATTGGGCATACCAACTGCTTGAGTTCTATGTGTAAGAGGACATCACGCGGAGAGGGCCGGACATCTTCCGGACAGAGTCAGGGGAGAGAAGACAGGAGCATTCATAGTCTTGAACTGTAAAGTTAGGTCGGGCATGTCTTCCTGAAGGCAGATTCTGGAGGAAAAACGTGCCCGAGCTGACTGTAGAGGCCTGCAAGAGAGAGAAGTGGCGAGTGGCGTGCGTGTCTGCCCCGGGCCCGCGCCTGGGCGTCAGCCTGGCCTCCTTCAGCAGGCGCGAGGCGTCAGAGGCGGTGCTGGAATCGAAGCCCTCCCCTCCGCCTCGTCCGTGCCTCCCCAGCTCAGATCTTGGCCCCCTACGTGCTCTCCTCCTCCTCCTCCTCCTCCTCCTCCTCCTCCTCCTCCTCCTCCTCCTCCTCCTCCTCCTCCTCCTCCTCCTCCCTCCTCCTCCTCCTGCCCCCTAAATGCCCCCTCTTGGCGTCCCTCGTTCCTCCTAACCTAAATGCCCCCTCCCCAGCTCAGCTCTTGGCCTCCTCCCCTCTACGTCGCCCTCCATCCCAACAACGAGAAGGAAATCGGATATAGACATGTGGCCCGCGCTGGGCTGAGAGCGCCACTCCGAACGATGGAAGCGTAGTACCGATCCTGAAATGTGGCCGATACTGCAGCGGAATCTTGTTTTCGGCCTCCGGGGGCAGGAGAGCCCAGAATCGAATCGAAGAGCCGGATCGGCGATCGAAATGAATCGGATCGGCGGAAATCGGCAGCCGAGCCGGGAAAAGTCGAATCGGCGGAAATCGGCAGGCTGGTATGCCTCCAATAGGAAATCGGAACCCGAATCGGAATCCCAAATCGAACCGAATCGGAATCGGAATCCACCGAAATCGAATCGAATCGAATCGGAGGAATCGAAACGAGCCCTGCGGGGGCCCTCGCAGGGCCATGGGGCGGTCAGAAGACGACCCAGGACGAAAGACTGGTCGCAAGGAGCGGGGCTAGACCTTCGGGGCTCCACGCTGCGGCAAGACTCACGACGGCGGAATTCGGGGCACGGGTGGGCTCAGGGGGGGGGGGGGAGAACATCGGCCTGGAATCGGCGATGCATCGCGGATTGATCGGCAATGGGCCCCCGAAGGCGAGTCCGCACGTGTCGGCGATGAGTGGGCGACTGGTTGAAGGGCCGAAGTAGCTACGACTGGGCGACAAGCATCATATCACATGTTGCAATCATGTGTGAACCACACACGCTGGAGGAGCGAATTTGAACAGGGACGTTGTCATGGGAGAGACGAGGGCAGTATTCAGAATGAGCAAGTGCAAACGAGACCAGCAAGAGGAGCGAGGGGATACTGGAAAGGGGAGAACATGAAAATGGGAAGGATGCGCCAGGAGACGGGCGAGCCATGTGCGTCCTCGGCACCTCTGACACACATTACCACGCTCCACCTCTATCCGCTCGCACTGCGTTGAAGCATTGCCTGCTCCGGGTTTCTTCATAAGCGTGGAGGGGTACCCCCACGAGGGGGGTCAACCTCACATCGTCGTCGCGCCGCGACGGGAGTCGGAGCGACTTCGGCGCGTGGCGGCTGCCCGCGACGGGGGGTCGACGCGGGGCTGTCCGCGGGAATGAACGCCCCCCCGACGCTTATTGAGGACCTCGGAGTAGTCGCCGAGTCGGCTGTCGACTCGGGCCTTGACCTCCGAATTGCGCCTGCTTTGCTCGGCTCGTCGTCGACTGTGCTCAGAGGGGGGCAAAGGAAAGGAGGACGGCGCCAGGCAGCGCGCACCCGGGAGGTCGGCCGGGCGGAGACAAGACGTGCACAGTCGAACAGCGCCGCGCAAGAAACAGGCATGAGAGATGAAGAGGCGGAGGAGGAGGAGGAGGAGGAGGAGGAGGAGGCGGAGGAGGAGGAGGAGGAGGAGGAGGAGGAGGAGGGGGGGGAGGAGGAGCAGAAGGAAAATGACAGACGGTGAAGGAGAAGGAGAAGGAGAAGGAGATGAGGAGGCGGATGAGAGTGAGGAGGACAGACGGGGGAGGAGGACGAGGAGCCGCAAGACGACGAGGAGGAAAAGGAGGAGGAGGAGGTGGAAGAAGACGAGGAAAAGGAGGAGGAGAAGGAGAAGGAGGAGGAGGAGGAGGAGGAAGAGAAGCGGGGCGGAATGGAGGAAGAGAAGTAGGAGAAGGAGGAGGAGGAGCAGGAGGAGAAGCAGGAGGAGAAGCAGGAGGAGGAGGAGAAAGAGAAGGAAAAAGAGAAGGCAAAAGAGCAGGAGGAGGAAGAGAAGGAGAAGGGGGGAAGGGAGGAGGCGGAGGAGGAGGAGAAGCAGCAGCAGCAGCAGGAGGAGGAAGAGCAGGAGGAGGACACACAGGGGGAGGACGAGCACGAGGAGCGGGAGGGGGAGGACGGGCAAAAAGGAGGAAGAGAGGAAGGTGCAGAAAGACGGCGAGCAATTAAGAGGAACGGAAGGGGAAGGTAAAGGAGGACGAATGGGAGGGAGGAGACAGTAGGAAGCAGGGAAGTAGACGTGGGGAGCACGGAGTGAAGGAGGGAAGACACATTCAACGACGACGACGGCGATGAATACCACGAAGAGGGTGAAGTTACGCAACTCGATCCATCTCACGACCATCGCCATCATCACCTGCCCTTCGCCGTCATCGTCGCAGCAGATTCCTCGCTGTCCTTCCCTGATCCTAGTCCTCAGCCCCCCACCAGGGAGCGCAGCAGCGCGAAGGGCGAGTCGTGTTTGAGGAGGGACTCGACCAGCTGTTTGTCGGAGCACCCCTGGAAGAAACAAGGAGGTGAGGAAAAGTGATTGCAAGGACCGAGCAGGAGGGGCGAGCTGGAAGAGGGGCAAGAGAAGAGGAGAAGTAGAAGGAGAAAGAGGAGGAAGAGGAGGGTGGAACGGAGAAGAGGGAGAAAGGGGAGGAAAAGAAGAATCAGAAAGGGAGGACAGGGAAGAAGAAGACGAAGAAGATGAAGAAGAGCAAGAAAGGGAAAGGGAGGAAGAACGAGGACGGGGGCCAGGGACGTGAAGCGCATGAGGAAGAAGCCCCCGACTACAAATGCAAACAGCACCATTTCGCACACGTCCACCACGCTGGCTCTCCACCATTCCATCCTTGTCGACCTCCCCCTGCTATCCCTCTTGCTCACACCCTCCCCACCGCCACTCGGCAACGATCCGCGCAACGGATTCTCTTGCGGTCCACCAACCTCCTCCTCACCCTCCTCCTCCTCCTCCTCCTCCTCCTCCTCCTCCTCCTCATCCTCCTCCTCTTCCTCCTCCTCATCAGCTTCTTCCTCAACCTCCTCCTTCTCCTCCTCCTCCTCATCATCATCATCATCGTCACCAACAACATCACCATCACAGCGCTATCACCTACACGAATTCTATCAAACGTGACACCATCATTCTTAGCATTAACAGTAGTGCTAATAAGTGCCGTGATCGTTCCCGCATTCCCCAAAGTTAGTAATAGCCCAACACCTACCAAGACTACGAGTCGTACTCGCAGTGATGCTGTTATTAGTAGCCATTACCATCACATTCATCAACATCAGCATCAGCAGCAGCATCATCATCAGCAGCAGCAGCATCATCATCATCAGCATCAGCATACTCATCATCATCAGCAGCATCATCAGCAGCATCAGCATCGTCATCATAACCAGCATCATCATCATCAGCATCATCACAACCATCATCCTCATCATCACCATCATCATCAGCAGTATAACCATCATCATTATTATCAACCTTATCATCATCATCAGCATCGTCATCAGTATGCTCCTCGTCGTCCTCATCATCCACCTCATCCTCCTCCTCCGTCTCCTCATCATCATCATCATCATCAGTAACATCATCATCATCATCATCATCATCATCATCATAATAATAATAATCAGCAGCAGCATCATCATCAACATCGTCATCGTCATCATCATCATCATCATCAGCAGCAGCAGCGTCATCGGCATCATCATCATCGTCGTCGTCATCATCAGCAGCATCAGCAGCATCATCATCATCAGCACTATCATCATCTACAACGTCAGCAGCATCATCATCATCATCATCATCATCATCATCATCATCGTCGTCGTCGTCGTCGTCGTCGTCGTCGTCAGCATCATCATCATCATCATCAGCAGCATCATCATCGGCCGCATACCCATCATCGTCATCATCAGTTTCAGCATCTTCATCATCAGCATTAGCATCATCATCATCACCATCAGCATCAGCGTCATCATCATCGGAATCAGAATCAGAAGGCGGGGAACACCGCAAGCCGCGTGTACAAAATCATCATCCCATCAGCATTATCATCAGCATCAGCATCCTCATCATCATCCTCATCCCCAGCATCATCATCAGCATCATCAGCAGCATCAGCAGCAGCATCATAATCGGCATCATCCCCATACGCGGCATCGTCAACAATCGGCGGCGTCATCGTCATCATCAGCAGCAGCATCATCATCAGCATCATCATCATCATCAGCATCATCATCATCATCATCATCATCATCATCATCATCATCATCATCATCATCATCATCATCATCCGCATCAACATCAACATCAACATCAACATCATCATCATCAGCGTTATCATCATCTTTCCATCATCATCAGCAACATCATCATCGTCATCAGCAGCAACGTCATCGTCATAATCATCATCATCATCGACGTCCTCATGAGCATCGTCGGCATCCTCATCATCACCGGCATCATCAGCATCATCATCATCATCAGCAGCATCGGCAGCAGCAGCATCATCAGCATCATCATTTTCATCATCAACATCGTCATCGTCACCATCATCATCATCACCATCATCATCATCATCGTCAGCGTCGACATAATCATCATAATCATAATCAGCAGCATCACCATCATCAGTAGCATCATCGTCATCATCCTCATCATCATCGTCATCAGCAGCATCATCATTACCATCGTCATCATCATAATCATCAGCATCATCAGCATCATCATCGTCGTCATCGTCGTGCTCATCATCATCGTCGTCGTCATCGGCATCGACATCGTCATCGTCATCGTCATCGTCAGCATCAGCATCAGCATCAGCATCATCATCATCATCATCAGTCTCAACACCACCATCATCAGCATCATCAGCATCATCAGCATCATCATCAGGATCATCATCATCATCATACTCATCATCATCATCGTCATCATCGTCATCATCTTCGTCATCATCATCATCATCCTCGTCATCGTCACCGTCATCGTCATCGTCATCATCATCATCATCATCATCATCAGCAGCAGCAGCAGCATCTCATTCTCCCACCAGCCGTATCCAGGCTCTCGTCATCCTCCCGTCGTCCGATCAATCCTTATACACGCCCTCGACCCCCCTCGTCCTCCACCTCCCCCTCACCGGTCATCCTCATACGTATATCCCATCCCGCCCTACGTATGTCCGCAGGTCTGGCCTTCCATCCCAGATCGGCCTTCTCTCCCTGCCTCGCTTTCACCTCCTTATCCGTCCTCCTCGCTCCTTCGCCTTACCCCTGCTCCTGGGACCGCCCCTGCCCAGGCTCGCAGAAGAGAGAGCACCTCAGACGAGAAGATCGCACGCTTTCCAGAAATCACTCCACTGTCCCTCCCTCGCACCTCCGTGCTACTTCCAAACCCATCCTCCCTCCTCCCGCCTCATGGCTCTCCCCCACCTAACCCCACCCCCCATACATCATGCCCCCTGTTGAAATCAATCATGTATTATCCCTCCTCCCTCCGCTGTCACCCGGCCCGCGCAAATGCCAGTATTGCATTGACAGCTGTCACCCCCACTCCACCATCTCTGGCCGTCTTCCCTAATCCATCCTCCCTCGTCCCTCTTCGTTTCTTTGTCCTCGTTCAGTCCTCCCTCCTCAACCTTTGCCACACTCCCTCACTCGTTCCTCCCTCTCCTCATCACTCCCTCCTTCCATCGCTTCCTTCAACCTCAGCCTCGTCCTCACCCCTCGCCCATCCCACATCCATCCTCCCCCACCATACCACCTCCTAGTCCTCCTCTTCCTCCTCCTCCTCCTCATCCTCATCCTCCTTTTCACTCCCTGACCCCTCCTCCCCTCCAATACTCCCTCCTTCCTCAATCGTCCTACTTCCTTCCGCTCTCTGCCCATCCGTCCCTCCTCAGCCCTGTTCCCACGTCTTCTCTCATCACTCTCCAATTCTTCCCTCTCGGTGATTCCTCCTCCCCGAACCCCTCACCCTCTCTTCCCTCCTCCCGCCCTCCTTTCTGCTCCCCCGTCACTCCATTACTCGCTCCCTCGCGCCGCCCTCCACACTGTCCTTCCTGTGTCCCTCCTGCCTCACCCCCACACTGCATCAATCCTTCGCCACATCACCCCCTCACTGCCTCACTCCCTTCCTCTTCGCGCCATCGCCACTCCTGCCTCCTGATGCACCCCTCCACCCTCATTAACCCCATCCTCCCACCATCCCTCCCTACCCTACCCTTCCTTTCCTTCCCCCCCCTTCACCCCCGAGAAGCCAAAACGCGGAAGGGCCTCCTGGCAGCCGAGGTCCTCCTCGATGCCTGTCGGGCTTGGGCGGAGCAGCGAGACCCTCTGGGTGATTCGCCTGCCTTTCGGCCGGCCACTTCAGCAGGCACGCCTGGCTCCTCTTCCTCCTCCTCCTCCTCATCCTCATCCTCCTCATCCTCCTCCTCCTCGCCATCCTCCTCCTCCTCCTTCTTCCCCCTCGTTATCTGAATCAACATCATAATAATAATGATAAATAACAAGAATAATAATAATAATAATAATAATAATAATAATATTGAAAATAGCACGAATAAAAATAATATGAATAAGAAGAAGACGAAAACTAATCGTAATACATTGTTAAGGAGAGCACGAATAATAAGAATAATGATAAAAAATAATAAAAATAAGAAAATAAAAAAAACTAATAAGAAGAAGAAGCATAATAATAATGGTGATAATGATACTAGTAACAAAAACAATATTAATGATAATAATGAGTACCATATTCATCATCATCAGCATCAGCATCTTCATGATCATCATAAGCAGCAGCAGCAGCAGCAGCATCATCATCATCATCATCATCATCATCATCATCATCATCATCATCACAATCATCAACATCATGATAATACTAATAATAGTACGAATAATACTAACAATAAAAACAGCACTCATACTATTACGAATACTAAAAATACGAATAATAAACATTATAGTCAGCATCATCCTCATCATCATCAGCAGCAGCATCATGGTCAGCATCAGTATTATCATCATCAGCATCATCATCATCAGCAGCAGCATCGTCATCATCATCAGCAGCATCATCAACATCATCAGCATCCTCATCATCATGGTCAGCAGCATCATCAGCACCAGCATCATCAACATCATCAGCACATATCATCACCATCATCATCAGCAGCGGCATCAGCAGCAGCAGCAGAAGCATCATCACAATCATCATCATCAGAAGCAGCAGCGTCATCTGCATCAGCATCATCACCATCAGCATCATCATCATAATCAGCATCGTCATCGCATAATCATCATCACCAACAGCGTCACTATCAGCATCACTAACCTCACACATCAGCATCATCATCCTAATCGTCATCATCATCATCATCATCATCAGCATCACCAGCACCAGCATCAGTATCAGCATCAGCAGCAGCAGCATCATCATCGTCATCATAATCAGCGTCATCATCAGCAGCATCGCCATTCATCATCATCATCATCATCATCATCATCAGCATCATCATCATCATCATCATCATCATCATCATCATCATCATCATCATCATCATCATCATCGTCGTCATCATCATCATCATCACCATCAGCACCAACAGCATCAGAAGCATCAACATCAGCATCAGCAGCATCATCATCATCGCCATCGTCGGCACCGTCATGCTCATACTCATCGTCGTGCGTGTTGGCATCATTATCATCAGCAGCAGCATCATAATCATAAGCAGCGACATCATCACCATCATCTAAATCATCCTCATCAGTATCATCATCATCATCATCATCATCATCATCATCATCATCATCATCACCAGCATCATCACCATCATGTGCATCATCAGAATCAGCATCATCAGCATCATCGTCGTCATCATCATCCTCATCATCATCAGCATTATCGGCATCATCGTCGGTACCATCATCATCATCCTCGTCATCATCACCATGATCGTCATCATTCTCATCCTCAGCATCAGAATCATCATCATCATCAGCATCATCGTCATCATCTTCATTGTCAGCGTGACCATCATCATCCTCAGCATCAGCGTCAGTATCAGCCGCATTGCCATCATACTCATCATCATCATCAGCATCCTCATCATCATCCTCCTAATCATGATCTTCATCGTCATTATCAGCATCATCATCAGAAGAAGCATCGTCACCACCGCCACCACCACCATCATCATCAGCAGCATCATCAGCACCATGACCACCATCATCAGCAGCAGCAACAGCATCATTATCACCACCATCCTCATCATCATTATCATCATCAGGCACAGCATTATTATCAGCATCATCATCGCATCCATCATCATCATCATCATCATCAGCAGCAGCAGCAACAGCATCAGCATCAGCATCCTCATCAGCAGCAACAGCAGCCATCACAATGGTCCTCTTAAGAGTATGTTTCGTTGTTCACGTGGCGCCCAAATTGTACATCCCAAATAATCGATACCGCAAATTCAGTTTTCGATGGTACCCCGCTTGGGGTTAAATCATCATTCATGCCGCGACCAGTTGACGCGGCCCCTGAAATGAGAAGAGGAGGGAGAAGGGAATATCAGCCAGCATTGACTCCAAATAGATAGGAGGACAGGAGGAGGACGAGAGGAGGATGGGAGGCGGACGAAAGGAGGACAGGAGCAGGACGGGAGGAGCAAGATCAAGCAAGCGCAAGCAAGCAAGCGGAAGCAAGCAAGCGCAAGCGAGCACTAACAAGCAAGCAAAAGCCAGCGATCAAGTGCAAGCAAGCAAGGGCAAGCAAGAGCACGCAAGCGAGAGCAAGCAAGCAAGAGCAGGCATAGGCATAGGCATAGGAATAGGCATAGGCATAGGCGTAGGCATAAGAGTTAGGGGGAGGCATAGGCACAGGCATAGCTATAGGACTCAGGGAAGGGCATAGGGATTTGGGGGGGCAACGGACCAATTAGTAGTTTTTTGAGTTAGAACTCCTACAGGGCAAGCCTATTTTGAGAAAAAGGGAGAGAACGAGGAAGGAGGCAAGAAATGAGAAGGGAGAGGGGCAAGATGGAGGCAGGACAAAAAAAAATTAGCACGGGGGAGAGAGGAGCAGGCAGACCCTAACGATGTGGAGGAACAAGATCCAAGACAAATGAGAAACAAATCGGTGGGCTGGCACGATCTCGTCCCACAGCCGTTGACACTTTCGGGCGCCATGAAAATCGAGCGACGAATGCGGAAGCGGCTCGGTGGCAGCGGTCCTGGACGCGCTCGAAGCAGCCGGGCGAGCTCCTGCGCAGTGCTCTCCCGTCGGCGGGGGGGGGAGATCAGGGAGCAGCAGAAGGATTCTGCGACAGACAGCGGCAGGACGAGCAGCGGCATCACAAACAAAGCCCAACCTGGCATGCCAAGCAGGCGCGATACCGCGTAGGAAACAGGGAGGAGGACGACAAGGAGGGGGGAGGCGGGAGGCGGGGATCGGGAGGAGGAGGAGGGAGGAAGAGGGGCAGGAGAAGGGGGAGGAGGAGGAGGAGGAGGAGGAGGAGGAGGAGGAGGAGGAGGAGGAGAAGAAGAAGAAAAAGAAGAAGAAGAAGAAAAAGAAGAAGAAGAAGAAGAACAGAAGCGGAGGCGGAGGAGGAGGAGGAGAAGGATCGGGTCGCGTGCCAGCGGAGAGGTCTCGCGCAAAGGTCATGGCCGGGGCAACACCAATACCGAGTACGGTGTTTGCGCGTTTTTCTATTGTAGGAGGGGGAAGGATAAAGAAAAAAAGGCCAGGTCATCGAAAGCCGACGTTAGACCATGGGGAATGACCTCGGCTGACGCCAACCTTGTTGCCCTCTGATCCTATTATGCCCCTCCGCCTCATGGATATCCTGGCCTCCACCTTTGAAGGGAAGGAGGACGGCGCCAAAGGCAGGTGCTGCTGCGGCGGATTGCCCTTCCTTGGGAGAATCTACACTGACTGCTGGCAGTGGAGTCCGCGATCGTCCTGGTGCATCCGATGACTTACACGTGGAATGCTCGACTGGTATATCTCTCATCGCGGCTGGTACTGGTTGCTGTGTAACCTTCGGTACTGTTGACGGTGGATCCCTCGATGGTACTTGCGCTGGTACTGAAGCCTTCGCCGTTGTGGGCATGACCGCACATACTGCTCGCGGGGCTGCTAGCGTCGCTGCCAGCAGTCGGTGGCGGGAGCACCGTTCTGAAACACCGAGAACAATCCGATTGTGAGAAACCGTGGGAAAGACCACCTTTGCCCAATTCTGCATGCGAAGACGCTACGCAGAGAGAATCGGCGATCCTCCCGACGGAGTCAGGGAGGGGAGGAGAGTAGCGTTCCGAATGTAGAAGCGCGATGGACGGGAGGGGAGACGAGGACCGCCGCCGAGGTTGGGCATGGACCGAAGGCGCGGGGGGGGCCCAGTCGGGGATGGACAGACCTCCCTTTAGTAAAACGTGGTTTAGTGAAAACGACCTGAGGCTAAAACCTGGCGGGCGCAAGCCTGGAAAATAACGGCCGCGGCGCCCTCTCGAGAACCGAAAACGGACAATTCACTAATCGACGTGTCACTGTTGGGGGTTCTGTCCACCCCCGACCCAGAAGAGCGCCCGCTCGCCCGAGACCCCCTCGGGGTGAGTGGCCAGACGCGCGAGCGTCCACCACCAGATCACTGACAGGGGGCGATGGCTTCTGAAAAGGGGGCCCTCGCGGGACACCTCGTTGAACGTGATGACTAGACTGCAGTCGGGCGTGTCCTCCCACAGGGGGATTTTGGACGAAGAAAAATTGAAAATACCCAAAGCAGATTCCAAAGATCCTCAAAGATGACCCAAAAAGCTTCCCCTGGCTATTTTTTGGCTATGTTTGAACATTCCCCTTGTAGAGGGGCAGGCCCGACTTAACACTAGACCGTCTCGTACGATTCAGCACTCGCCGGCAGGGCGCCGCGCAGCGCGCTCTCGAACTGCGCGGATGGCAGGCCCGCGAGGGGCTCGTCTTTCAGAGGGGCGCTGCTTGCGGCGCGGAAGAAGGCGTGTGGGGACTTAAGGGGAAGAGGGGAGGAGGAGGAGAGGGAGGAGGAGGAAGGAGGAGGAGGAGGAGGAGGAGGAGGAGGAGGAGGAGGAGGAGGAGGAGGAGGAGGAGGAGGAGGAGGAGGAGGGGAGAGGAGGAGGGAGGAGGAGGAGGAGGAGGAGGAGGAGGAGGGAGGGGGAGGAGGAGGAGGAGGAGGAGGAGGAGGGGGAGGAGGAGGCAGAGGAGGAGAAGGAGGGGGGAGGCGGAGGAGGAGGAGGAGGAGGAGGAGGGGCAGGAGGAGAGGAGGAGGAGGAGGAGGAGGGGGAGGAGGAGGAGGAGGAGGAGGAGGAGGAGGAGGAGGAGGAGGAGGAGGAGGAGGAGGAGGGTTCCTTCCTCCTCCGAGTGCTCCGCCAGGATTTCCATTGCGCTTCGGGGACCGAACGAAAGAATAAGCCGTGTCGTGACGGCACATCAGCTGCAGTGCACATCGGTTCGGGGACCCGATAGGTTAGACAAGTTTGGGCCCAACGTTTGGCCACATTGGCGTTTCCAGAAAGGCAGGGGGCGGCGGTGACTCGCCGTGGGCGGCTTCGATGGTCTCGACGTCGCCCTCGGCGTCCGCTGTGTCGAGGGCTCGGCGATACTTGCTGCCCCGGCAGCACATCCGCAAGAGTTTTTCGCGCTGATCGCTACTGGGTGGGCCGCTGCCCACGGGTGAGCGGGATGGGGGGAAGGGCGGGGAAGGAAGCTACAATCAACCCGTATGATAAGGAGGCGCGGTAAGGATGCAAGTGGTGCCTTGAAAGCAATGTTGAAGGGGCCAGCCAGCGAAAGTCGCCAAGGATAGGCCGAAGGGGCAAGGATGCAAGGGTGACTTTGGAAAGGCGCTCATCCTTACTATGCGGGTTGACTGCACGTAGGATAGGAGCCGCTGGCGTAGGGGAAGTGTAAACGGGTGTGGGCGGAACACTCTCGGCAACGACTATCTGAGGCGCAGGTCACGAGCGGGGAAGAGGATCGCTAGGCCAGAGAACCCCAAAAAAGGACATGCCAGAAGAATCTCAAGAGTGTGTGGGTGCTCGGTTGCTTCAGGACGGGGAGGACGACGACGACGACGACAATGAGACAGAGCTATTACTTTCCACTGAGTCCTCTCCGTCCCGTCCACTAGGCACATCCATAACCTTCCTCTCTCCGTACCCTTCCGACTGGAATGTCAGGACGCACAGAACAACTCCTCCTCCCCCTCCTCCCCCTCCTCCTCCTCCTCCTCCTCCTCCCCCTCCTCCTCCTCCTCCTCATCGGCGGAATGTCGAAGGTACAACATGTACGCGGCTCCTCACGCGCCTGCTCGGGCGTGTCTGGGATCGAGAGGACGGGTTCCCTCCGCATCCCGTGCTGCGTGGCCTCTCCGCTCACCGTCGGAGGCGCCCGAAGTCCGGCCACCGATGCCGCCCTCACAGCTCCCGCCCCCGCACGCTCTTTCAAAGAGTGGGAGGGGGAGGAGGAGGAGGAGGAGGAGGAGGAGGAGGAGGAGGAGGAGGAGGAGGAGGAGGAGGAGGGGAGGAGGGAGGAGGAGGAGGGGGAGGAGGAGGGAGGAGGAGAGGAGGAGGAGGAGGAGGAGAAGGAGAGAGGGGGAGGAGGAGGGGGAGGAGGAGGAGGAGAGGAGGAGGAGGAGGAGGAGGAGGAGGCAGAGGAGAAGAGGAGGAGGAGGAGAGCGCGAGGAGAGTTCGAAGGGGAGGGGAGACGGGGACATGGGCGGCGAAGGGGGCAGGTGTCAATACTGCTCATGGTTTTCGGACATCCGTCTCGTCGCTGTCCCGCATCCAACATTAATACCTCTCGGGCTCCAGCAAGGAAATCAACAAGCCGCTGCGAGACTGCGCTGGACGAGCACTGGCCAACCTAGCTCGACATGGTCGGTTTTCCGGCTGTACGGCGACACGACGAAAACAAGGGACAACGACGACGAAAACGAAAGCGGAGGAGGAGGAGGAGGAGGAGGAGGAGGAGGAGGGGAAGGAGGAGGAGAAGGAGAAGCAGTCAAATAGTGGGGCGGAGGAGAACCAGGAGGAGGAAGGAGGAGGAGGGGGGAGTAAGAAAGGCAGGGAGGAAGAGGGCCCCAGGAGGCCAGATTGATAGATTTCCCATTGGTTGTTTAAGATTGGGGCGTCCTCGCCGTTTCCACTTCCCGCCGCTCCAAGACGGCTCAAGAGGCCCCCAAGATCGCCCCAAGACGGGCACCAAAACAGGCCAAGTGGCAACAGGACCCCAAGGCAGCCCAAGACGACTCCCAGACGGCCCAAGAGGCCCCCAAGACGGCTCCAAGAGCGTGCCCAGACGGGGGACCCGCACGGACGCCCCGAGCCGCCGAAAGATCGCCCCAAGACGCCCAAGATGGCCCCCAAGACGCCCAAAAGGTCCCCAAGATCGCCCCAAGAGGCCTCCAAGAGGCCTCCCAAGAGGGCCCCAAGAGGCAAAGATCACAGCTGCTCCAGAAGTTTGTAAGGTAATTGGGGTTCTCGCGTTGTCGGCCTCCTGGCGCCCCAAGGCGGCCCCAGAGGCCCCCAAGATCGCCCCAAGAGGCCTCCAAAAGGCCTCCCAAGAGGGCACCAGGAGGCACAGATCACAGCTGCTCCAGAAGCCTTAAGGTTGTTGAGGTTCTCGCGTCGTCGGCTTCCTGGCGCTCCAAGACGGCCCCAGAGGCCTCCAAGATCGCCCGAAGAGGCCTCCAAGAGGCCTCCCAAGAGGGCCCCAGGAGGCAAAAATCCGGGCTGTTCCAAAAGTTGTTAAGGTTGAGGCCCCCAGGATCGCCCCAAGACGGCCAAGGGCCCCCGGGCGTCCCAAAAGGGCCCCAAGACGGTTCCGAGAAGCTGCCAGGACGGCCCGAGAGGCCCCCAAGACGGCTCCGAGAGGGGGCCCAAACGGCGGACGCGAGCGGAAATGTCGAGCCCTCTGCCCCAAGAGGCCCCCAAGTGGCCCCGAAGAGGCCCCCGAGGAGCCCCCGGGAGGCCCCAAGAGGCCCCCAGGAGGCCCAGAGGAGGCCCCAAAAGGCCCCAAAACGGCCCCCAAGAGGCCTCCAAGAGGCCTCCAAAGTGCTGCCGGGAGGCTCCCAGGAGACCTACCAGGAGACCCTCAAGGTGTCGGCGGTGCGGCGTAATTACGCCCAAGAATCCCGAGACACTGTGGGCAAGCACTTGAAATTCTTCTCTGAAAGATCAAGCATAAACTCAAGCATGCAAATGAGCATCACACCATACCGCAACTTGCCCGCTCAGCAGCGGAGCACAGGATACACCCGTGCGCCTTGCTTCGCGTTCCCCGTTCACGCGGCGCCGACAAGATAGAACTGCCACCAGATTATGTTCACCGCACGCGGCACCGAAACCAAACCAGGATTGGAAACAGCGAACCCGACAACAACCAAAAGCAGCCGTGACGCGAGGCTTCCCGACAGAAGACGCCCACTCCCGTCGACGACGACGACGACGACGACGACGACGACGACAACGACGACGACGACGACGACGACGACGACGACGACGACGACGACGTCGATGACGACGACGACCATGACGACGACGACGATGATAACGACCACGACGACGACGACGACGACGTCGACGACGACGACGACGACGATGACGACGACGACGACGACGACGACGACGACGACGACAACGACGACAACGATAACGACGACGACGACGACGACGACGACGACGACGACGACGACGACGACAACAACAACGACGGCTCAAGACGACGAAAACGACGACGGCTCACGACGACGACGACAACAACGCGTCGGGGCACAGGTGCTCCTCTCTCCCGCGCACGTCCGACCGCCCCTCTGGGACTGGCAATGCATCCTCGCCACCCTTGGCCCTCGTCGTCAACGTCATCGACGACGACGACGACGATGACGACGCGGAATGGCCCGCATCTGGCCGCGCGGAGTGCTGTGACCGGCTTGCACTGGGCCTCTGAGCCAGCCGCACAGGAGGAACAGGAGAGGTGCTTGCGAGACAGAGGCATCCAGGAGAATATGACAGGAAAGTCAGGGCACGCCCACAGCGCCAAGAAGCACGATGCATTCATAAAAACACCAACAACAAATCGTTCATCTCTCTCTCTCTCTCTCTCCTTCTCTCTCTCTCTCTCTCTCTCTCGCGGCGCGCATCCTCGGGCGCGCATGTTGCTGGGCAGCACGGTGGCGTCAACCCCTGCCGGCTTACGCTGTGACGAATCCAACACGGGTCCCGAAGCCCAACGGGGCAACTCGCGTTGCGCCGCTGGCTCGCAATCAGTAACACACTTCGCGCAGCCCCGCCACGTTGCCAACTACACAGCAAATCGTCGACGTCGCCGCCGTCGTCGTCGTCCTCGTCGTCTTCGTCCTTGTTTTCGTTTTCGACATCGTCCTCGTCCTATTCGTCCTGGTCGTCGTCGTCATCATCGTCCTCGTTCTCGTCGCGCTCGTCATCGTCATCGTCGTCGTCGTTGTAGTCGTCGTCGTCGTCGCCGTCCTCGTTATCGTCATCGTCGTCGTCATCGTTGTCGTCGTCGTCCGTCGTCAGTTGTCCGTCAGCCGTCGTACGTTGCACGTCGTCCGTCGTCCGTCGTCCGTCGTCCGTCGTCGTCGTCCGTCGTTGTCGTCCGTAGTCCGTCGCCCGTCGTCCGTCGTCCGTCCTCCGTCTTCCGTCGTCGTCGCCGTCGTCGTCGTGGTCGTGGTCCATCGTCGTCGTCGTCGTTGCCGCCGCCGCCGCCGCCGTCGTCGTCGCCGTCGTCAGATCGTCGCAGTCTTCGTCGTCGTCGTCGTCGTCGTCGGCGTCGTCGGCCGTCGTTGGGCGTCGCCGTCGTCCGTCGTCGTTGTCGACATCGCTGCGTCGTCGTGGCCGCCGTCGTCGAGCGACCCAGATCTCTGCGGCACGGGCCACGAGTCCCAGCAAGGGCGACACTGATCCAATGAAACAGCCGCGCTTCGCCAGCCCCCCGCGCGCCGCGACGCTTTCCCGGAGCCGAACGGGAAACGCGACGCCCGAGTCGACCCGATTGCCTGGCGAAGAAAATGGGCACCTTGGCGCGGCGCCACTGCCCCGACAGCGCAGCGACCCCGCGCATCGCGAAGCCCTGGCGCACGATCTTCGCGCGCCATGACCAGACGGCCTCGCCGCTACATCCCATCGCTTCTCGTTGCGCCTCGGCGCAACGATTGCTGCTGGCATAGGGAGGCTCGAGGGCCCAAATCGGCACCGGCGATCTGATCTGGTCCGATCTCACATCGAAATCCACGCTCATGGCAACCATCACATACACGCGGACCACCGCGCGCGAGAACCTCGACCGATCTCACCGGGGGCAAGTCTTTCGCACAGCACGGCTCGCCGCAAGCTGGGCCTGCAGCGGCCCAGTCGACCTCAGTTGCAACGTCTTGTTTCCCTGTCAAACGCCCCTCTTCCATGTCCCCATCTGAACACACCGGGCGGCGCCCGACAGACCTCCTCGCGCCAGCGACGCACTCTGCAGGCGCTGCCCCGCGAACCCCGCTCGCATCAGGCCCTCCGGGCCCCAGAGACACACGCCTGTCGCCGTCGACCTGGCCAGAATCTGCTCAAAATCGGCCCGCGGACCCCTCCCGGGGCCCAAGCGCACAAATTCTCCGCGCCGCACCGGGCCGCGGCGACGAGGAGGGCCCCCGAGGGCCACACAGCCTCGAACCTCGACCCTCGAGGTTCGAGGCAGAGCCCGGCCGCGGGCCCGGCCGCAGTCGCGCCACATCGGCCAAGCGGGACCCGTCACAGCCGCCAACTCGCGTCGCCTAGCCCCCCGCGCGGCCGCCCGAATCGGCGCCACCCTGGCTGCCCACTTCGGGCGACGTCGTGAGCCGCCGCCGTCGTCGTCGTCGTCGTCGCCGTCGCCGTCGCCGTCGCCGTCGTCGTCGTGGTCGTCGTCCGTCGTCGTCGTCGTCGTCGCCCCTCGTCCGTCTTCCGTCGCCCACCGTCGGAGCTAGAAAGCACACCGCTCAACAGAACATCATCCGACAGACGCCTATAGCATCGAGACGTCCAGATTGGTCTGCTACGAGAGCTACAACTGAGCACTCTGGAGTATATGGTGAGAGATCATACATGTTTTCTAAATTGAATTCGAGCTGTAATCTGCTCCTCGTTCTCATTCCCCCCCTTTTTCTTCCTTTTCCTTCTCCTCCTTCTCCTGGTCATTTTTCCTTAATCTCCTCCTCCTCCTCCTCCTCGTTCGCCTCCTCCTTTTTCCTCCTCCGCCTCTTCTTTCTCCTCCTCCTCCTCTTCATCCCCCATGTTGTTTCTCATTTGTTTTCCTCCTCCTCCTTCTATAACCGCCGGGGCCCTCGAAGAGCTCTTCACACCTGAGGAGAGGCTCTGAATACGACGAGAAAGCCCCCGACTCCCAGCTTATAAACTCGGAAATGTTTTTCGCTTCAAACGAAGTTAGGTCCGCAAAATATCTCGATAGTAATACTGAAGCTAGAGACCTGAGATTTCGACAGGCGAACGCGCCATAATCTACTCCACGTGCAGAGGATACTTTAGCTGTGTAATTCGCTTCCTTCTTTAATTCCACGAAACAATTATCATCTGGAAACATGCATCCCCGCCGCCGATGGTTCCTCCAAATGTTCGAGAGCTGCACTGCAGCTACAGCCCTCAGACTTTCAGCACAGAACGCGCCATAATCCACTACAGGGAATAAAATCCGCCGACCCTGTCGGCGCGTGTGAGGGGCTTCTCCGTTCGACTCGTCGTTCCCGTCGTCTCCGTTCTCCCCCTTCCCAGGGCTCTCCTCCTCAAGCGCGCTATCCAAAGCGAAATTAAACGACGTCGTAGTGGAGTCGAAGGGAAGCCCCTTCCCTTTGATCCCTTCCCCGCAGGGGGGGGGAGGGGGGGGGGCCCGAGGCAAATACGACGCCCGCCGGGGCGCACTTTCCTCGAGCGGGCATGCACGGGATGCACACCCCCTCCTCCTGGTCCCCCTCCCTCCTTTTCCTCCCCCTCCTCCTCCTCCTGCTCCTCCAATTCCTTTTCCTTTTCCTCCCGTTCCTCCTCCTCCCCCCCTGCTCCCCCCTCCTCCTCCTCCTCCAACCGCAAAGGCGTCCCGGGAGCGGGCCCCGAGTCAAAATACCACCCCCCTAGGGCGCATTTTCCTCGAGCGGGCACGCCCGAGATGCACTTCTTCCTCTTCCGGGAGCACGTCCCAAGTCAGAATATCACACTCCCGGGGCGCATTTTCTTCGAGCGGGCACGCAAAGGATGCACTTCTCCTCTCCTCCTCCTCCTCCTCCCCCTCCTCCTACTCCTCCTCCTCCTCCTCCTCCTCCTCCTTCTCCTCCTCCTCCTCCTCCTCCTCCGTTTCGTCCTCCTTTCCTCCTCCTCCCCTCCTCCTCCTCCTCCTCCTCCTCCTCCTCCTCCTCCTCCTCCTCCTCTCCTCCTCCTCCTCCTCCTCCTCCTCCGCCCCCCCCCACCACTCCTAGCCCTTTCGATCAGGGTCGGCGGCACCGGCCGTCAGGCCTCTCCAATTGGTTTTTGGAAAACGGATTGCCATATATCTCACAATCTTTTTTAACTAAGAATTATGTTTGAATCTTCTTTATATATATATACAAATATTATGTTTTTAAACCAAAAAAATGCCCGCCCGGGCCGGGCGGGCCAACTGGGAGCCGGCGGCAAACCGCCAACCAGGCACAGCCGGGGCCCTCGTAGAGCTTTCACACTTGAGGAGAGGCTCAGAATACGACGAGAAAGCCTATAACACCAGCTTAAAACTCGAAAAATGCATTCCTTTTGGTTTTGAACGAAGTTAGGTCCGCAAAGGTCTTTCGATAGTAATACTGAAACTAGAGACCTGAGAATTCGACAGGCGAACGCGTCATAATCTACTTCACGTGCAGAGGATACTTTAGCTGCGTAGTCTGTTTCCTTCTTTCGTTAATGTCACGAAACCATTATCACATCCCGACGGCCGATGGTCCTCCTAATTTTCGAGAGCTGCACTGCAGCTACAGCCCTCAGAATTTTACCACTGAGCGCGCCATGATCCACTACAAGGGATAAAAATCGGTTTTCACAAAACGAATTGTCAAATCTCTCACAATCTTCAAAAAAACCGACCCCAGGTCGCAACATTGTCCGCCCGGGCTGGGTGGTCCAACTGGGAGCCGGCGGTAAACCGCCAACCAGGTCACCGCCGGGGCCCTCGTAGAGCTCTCGACACTGGAGAAAAGGCTCAGAATACGACGAGAAAGCCCTCGAGTATCAGCTTAAAAACTCGAAGATGTATATTTTCGTCTGAACGAAGTTACGTCCGCCAAGTGTTTTGATACTTATGCTGAGGCTAGATACCTCAGAACTTAACAAGCGAACGCGTCATAATCTACTAACTACAGGTGCAGAGGATACTTGAGCTGTGTAGTTCGCCTTCCTCCTTTCATTAATTGCACGAAACCACGGTCACATCCCGACGGCCGATGGTCCTCCTAATTTTCGAGAGCTGCACTGCAGCTACAGCCCTCAGACGCTCACCACAAAACGCGCCATAATCCACTATAGGGGATGAAAATCGGTTTTTTCCAAAACGAATTGTCACTGGGAGCCGGCGGTAGGCGCCGGGGCCCTCGTAGAGCTCTCAACACGCGAAAATGAGCTCAGAATATGACGAGAAATCTCACTTCAAAATCAGTTCAAAACAACAAACATTTATTTTCTCAGCGCTATACGAAGTTGGTTCCGCCAAGTGTTTTGATAGTAGTACTACAGCTACAAACCTGGGAATTCGACGGGCTGACGCGCCTTGACATGCTACAGATGAAGAAAACACTGGAGCTGTCAAGCTGACTTTCTGCTTCAGTTAAGTTCACGGATTCATTATCATCTGGAAAAATACATCCCGATCACCGACGGTTCCCCCTAATTTTCGAAAGCTGCGCTGCTGCTACAGCCGCGAGGATCTCACCAT